TTTGCTCTGTTTAAAACTATGTTTCCTCTTCTCTTCTGTGTTACTTCAAAATTCCTATTCTCTAAATTAATTATTCTTTTTTCCATATAATCTGCCCTGCTACATAGGTTCTATATTCCATTCTTAATTTCATTCATTGACTTTACAGTTCCAGAGTTTCTGTTTGGTTCTCTTTTATAATTTTATTTCCTTTGGTAAAGAACTCATTTTGTTCCTAATTTTATTCCTGATTTCACTGAGTTGTCTTTCTGAGTTTTCTTATAACTGAGTTTCTTCAGAGTAGCTATTTTGAAATTTTAACTGTTAGATTACAAATTTCTGTACCTTTGAGCTTGATTGCTGGAGAATATAATTTTCTTTTTTTGATGCCATATTTCCTTGAAGTTTCATATTCCTTGCAGATATGCTTTGCTGCAGTAGATACCTTCTTGACTCTTTTCTCATTTCCTTCAGCAGATGAGGTGCTGTTATTACCTGAGTTTTTATCTGTATTTGTGTGCTGGGGCTGACCAGCAGCCCCTGAGCGACGGATGAACAAATTACTCCGACACAGTTTCACTGTGGGGGAGAGGACTAAGGGACAGCCCCGCTGAAGAAGCCAGGCAGCCTCGAGTGCCTGCCTCATTATTGGAATTTTTATCTTTAGATACAATCAGTAGGGTGAGTAATCTTGGGAGGACACATGTGTTTACATTGTCCTCTAGGCAAGGGCATCCACAGATTAAGCATAAGGATTCCGGTAAACACCCGGGGGTCTGCATATGCACAGACTTGTTTGGAAAGGTCAAGGAATAATTAGGGGTGCCGCCTTCGACACTCCCCTAAGTCTCCCCTAAGTCGGAATTCTGATAGGGCAGGCAGCCTTCACACACTTCCCTTTTCTCAGAATGTCCTCCTTACAACTTTCCAACCAAGTCTCTTGTCTCCCCAACACTTGTGAAGGTGTACTGCTCCACTCCTATTGCTCCCTCTTTTGTGCAAAAGTTTAAGCTTTTGTGCTTCTTCTGGTTTTTAAAAATCACCAGGCTGAGTATTAGAAACCTCTTTTGTTTTAAATAAGGTGGCACTATACTCAACTCTGTGCTTCCTGAGCATGCTCTCTGTCCACTGGAGCTTGCTCTCGCAGTGGTACTTGTCAGCCCACACAAGGAGCTAACATAGAATGGGGAGAGGTGTGGGTTTAGCACTGAGTGCATTGGGGGTGCCTGCAGACCCAGAGGGTGCACACAGGGTGGTACACCCAGCAGCTCCAGTTAGGACTTCCTGCTGAACACAATCCCTTTAACACCATTTGAAATACTTACCTGCCTCTTTCCCAATGCCTTACCCCCACCCACAGTTATAGAGCTTTCACCATACTATTCTAAGTGCTACAAGAAAGACTTGATTTCTCCAGCTGGGTGCCAACTAGCTGGGAATAACACTGCTTTCCTTTTTTCCTGTGGGAGAGGTCACCTTCAGCAGATAAATTAGTGCTTTTCAATGTTTCAATGGTGCTGGAAGAGTTTTCCTGACAGCCTCCACTGTGTCCTAAATCATATCCCCCGTCCCCCCACTCCAGTGATCTGTGCTGGGTATATAGGAAAGTACTGTAGCATAATAAAGGCTATATATGACAAACCTACAGTTAACATTATACTTAGTGATGAAAAATTGAAAGCTTTTTCTGTAAGATCACCAATAAGACGGATGCCCACTCTCACCACTTTTATTCAACACTAGAGGCCTGGTGCATGAAATTCGTGCACGGAGGTTTGGGGTCCTTAGCGCAGCCTGCACCCTTTCCAATCCGGGACCCCTCAGGGGATGTCATCAGTCGGACATCCCTCTCACAATCCTGGACCACTGGCTCCTAATTGCTCACCTGCCTGCCTGCCTGGTCACCCCCAACTGCCCCCTCTCTGCTGGCCTGGTTGCCCCACACAGCCTGCTGTTCAGTCATTTGGTAGTCCCTCATTAACCGCCCCCTGCAGGCCTGGTTGTAGGCAGCCATCTTCTGAGGGTGTGGGTGTTAATTTGCATATTACCTCTTTATTATATAGGATAGTACTGTCAGTCCTAGACAGAGCAATTATGTAAGGAAAATAAAGAAAAGGCATCCAGATTGGAAAGAGAAGTAAAACCATCACTATTTGCATATGGCATGGTTTTATATAGAGAAAACCTTAAAGACTTCATCTCAAAAAGACTATTAGGAATAGTAAGTGAATACAGTAATGTGGCAATGTACAAAATCAATATACAAAAATCTGTTACATTTCCATATACTAACAATGAAGTATCTGAAAGATCACCAATAAGACGGATGCCCACTCTCACCACTTTTATTCAACACTAGAGGCCTGGTGCATGAAATTCGTGCACGGAGGTTTGGGGTCCTTAGCGCAGCCTGCACCCTTTCCAATCGGGGAAAAATACCTAGCAATAAACTTAACACAGGAGAGGAAAGACCTGCACACTGAACACTACAAACCATTGTTGAAACAAATTGAAGAAGACCCAAAATGGAAAGATAGGCTCCATTCATGGATTGGAGGAATAGACTAACATTGCTAAAATTCCCATATTACCTAAAGCAGTCTACAGATTCCATGCAATCCCTATTAAAATCCCAATGGCATTTTTCACGGAAATTGAACAAAATATCCTAAAATTTTTATGGAACCACAAAAGACCCAAAATAGCCAAAGCAATTCTCAGGAAAAAAAGAACAAAGTATGAGGCATCACACTCTCTAATTTCAAACTATACTACAATGCTCTATTTAAACAGCATGGTGTTGGGAGAAAGACGGACCTATATACTAATGGAAAAGAGTTGAGAGCAGAGAAATAGACCCACAAATATAAGGACAACTAATTTGTAACAAAGAGGACAAGAATATACAATGGAGAAAGTCTTTTCCATAAGTGGTACTGGAAAAACTGAACCATGTGCAAAAAAATGAAATTAGACCAATATCTTTCACCATACATAAAATTTATCTTAAAATGGATTAAAGACTTGTATGTAAGATCTTGAGACAATAAAATACCTAGAAGAAAAGTAGGCACTAAACTTAATGGACATTAGTCTTGGTGATGTTTTTGTGTGAATTTGACTCCAAAGGCATGGGAAATAAAAACAAATAGCACTACACCAAACTGAAAAGCTTTTGTGCTGCAAAGGAAACTGTCAATAAAGCAACCAATCAAATGAGAGAAGGGGTTAATATCCAAATAAAATCTCATACCAGCACCACCACCACCACAACAACAACAAAAAAGAGCTTAAAGATTGAGCAGAGGGTTTGAATAGACATTTTTTCAGGGAAGACATTCAGATGGCCAACAGGCACATGAAGAGATGTTCAACTTCGCCAATTAGGAAAGTGCAAATCAAAACCACAATGAGATGTCACCTAACACGAGTTAGAAGGGCTGTAACTAAAAAGACAAGAAATAACAAATATTAGAGAGGATATGGAGGAAAGGGAACCCTGGTACACTGCTGGTCGTAATGTAAGTTGGGGCAGCCACTATGGCAAACAGTATGAAGTTTTTTTACATAAGGAGTAGAACTACCAAATAATCCAGCAATTCCTCTTTTCAGTATTCATCTGAAATGAAAACACTAATTTGAAAAGATATATGCACCCCTATGTTCATTGCAATATTATTTACAATAGCCAAGATATGGAAAGAAGTGTCTATCAACAGATGAGGTAAATATACACACTGGAATATTACTCAGCCATAAAAAGATGAATATTGCCGTTGGTGATGACATGGGTGGATCTCCAGAGTATGATACTAAGTAAAATAAGAGAAAAAGACAAAGAATATGATTACAGTCATGAAGGATAAAAACAAAACAAAAACTCATATATTCAGACAACAGATTGATGTTACCAGAGGGGAAGGTGGTAAGGGTAGGGCAAAGTGGGGTCAAATGTGTGGTGAAATTGGAAACTAGACTTTTTGTGGGGAGCACATAACAGATGTTGAATTATAATGTTGAACACCTGAAATTTTTATGTTATTAATGTTACCTCAATTTTAAAAAATGGAGTCTTCTGTACATAGTATCTTAAAAATACTTTTGGTGACTGCTTCTACTATTACAGTAGATATATATATATAAACCATGTCAATAATAATGAGCATTCTGAAAATTATTGCCCTTTATAGTACAAGTGAATGTTAATAGTATAAATTAAATTTACATTATTTTGTAAAATTCTGTTTTAGTTATATAGAAGAATTTTTCATTTAAAGGCATTTGCTGTTGACTCCATTTAAGTGTACACATATGATCACATCTGAAAAAAAGAATCCAGATTTTTCTTCATTATAGTTTGCTTGCTTTGGGGTTCTTTTTGTTGTTGTTATTGTACCTTTCTTAAAAAATAGTTATGTCTGAATATAGAATATATCCCGATTTATTACTTCTTTAAATTTTTATTTATTGATTTGAGAGAGAGAAACTTCAATATGTTTTTCTACTTACTTATGCATTTATTGGGTGATTCTTGTATGTGCCCTGACCTGGGATCCAACCCACAGCATTTGTGTATTTGGATGATGCTCTAACCAACTGACCTACCCGGCCAAGCCCTCCCTATTTATTCTTTATCAGGAATTAACATACAGGAAGAAGTATTCCACAGTGGTTGAACATTTGGGCTCTGAAGTCAGATCGCCCTCAATGCCTCCACCTGGCTGTGTATAACTGGTTACAACACCTTTCTTAAATCTGCTTCCCTTAGAAAATGAAGATATTAATTGTAACTACCTTATAGCATTGTCAGAATTAACTGAGGTTAAGTGTATAAAATACTTAGCATATTATTTAATAGAAAAAGCTCTTAATATTATTAAAATTCTCAGGTAACTTCTATGTTCAATAACTTCATTTTTTAAATTAAGGTTATTAAATCATGGGATTAATTTAAAACATAGGATATACTTTTATATTTACATCATAGATGATTTTTTCTTTAATCAATATTTTTGTTTTAGGTCGCTTTTCACATTGAACCATATAGCAATCGAGATGTTCAAAACATGTACCGAAATGTCAAATACATTATAGACAAGTGAGTTTCTCCTGTGTTTATAAATTAATTTTGTAGTGAATATTGAAGTCATTTTGAGGAACATTTGAGGTTCCTTACGGTTCACTTTCTATATGAATAAAGATTTCTCTTTAGTATTTTACATATGTTTTATGCTATTTATGATTTCATACTGACATTTTAAAATTATATTATTCTTTAAATCTTATGGATATAGAGTTTTATCTTTTTAAAAGAAGGTTCAGATTATGAAGTGTGAACTGCTTTTGTAACGGTGGACCCAACATCTAATATTTTCATTTATACTTAGTCTGATTATAAGAATTTATTCAGTTTCACTCGGTTCATGAGTACTACTGATAACAGTCTGACAGATGCCATACTCTAACAAAGAAGCTTGTCAGCAACAGATGGCCATGTACTATTGATACAAAAAAAAGCAGTCTATATATTCATGTAGAAAATGGGCTTTTCATGGTGTTCGTCCTCATTGGTAGACCTCAGCATAAGAATTAATTTGTTTGGTAATGTCTTGATATCTAGTATTTCCTTCCCTAATCAATAAAATTAAAATGCATTTTTAATAATTACTCTTACATACCTGACTCCCCAAAGAAGGTGAACAATGTGTATAAACTCTGATTACCTTGATTTTCATACATAATTATTATCTATGGCAAATGAAATGTGAATATTTATTTCACTTTTATCTATGTTTGTATTCTAGATATGGAAATCATCCGGCCTTTTACAGGTACAAGACTAAGACCGGCAATTCTCTTCCTATGTTTTATGTCTATGATTCCTATATTACAGAGCCTGAACAATGGGCCAATCTGTTAACCACCTCAGGGTCTCAGAGCATTCGCAACTCTCCTTATGATGCATTGTTTATTGCACTTCTAGTAGAAGACAAGCATAAATATGATATCCTTCAAAGTGGTTTTAATGGAATTTACACGTATTTTGCCACAAATGGCTTTACTTATGGCTCATCATATGAGAATTGGGCTAAAATAAAATTATTTTGTGATCACTTCCAACTACTATTTATCCCAAGTGTGGGCCCAGGATACATAGATACCAGCATCCGTCCATGGAACACTCAAAACACTCGGAACCGAATCAATGGGAAGTATTATGAAACTGCTCTGAATTTGGCACTCCAAGCTCACCCTAGTGTAATTTCTATCACCTCTTTCAATGAGTGGCATGAAGGAACTCAGATTGAAAAAGCTGTGCCCAAACGAACCAGTAAAAGAGTATACCTGGATTACCGGCCTCATAAACCAAGTCTTTATCTGGAACTAACTCGCAAGTGGTCTGAAAAATACAGTAAGGAAAGATCAACTTACGCATTAGAGCACCAGCTGCCTGTTTCTTAATGCACTATTTAACGTTTAATAATTATAGAAAACACCTAATTTCAGTAAATGCCTATTGTTTTGAGTTACGGAAAGAAAACTGTCAAAATCAATATGCATTGTTACTATTATCTTTTATAAAAGTAATTTGTACTTTTTTAAAGGTAGTAATGTTATCATCGCCACCGTTCACAATGCTGTACTGAGAAAATGCCTGAGAGAAAATTGTGCAAAAACATTCCCTGTGCCATCATCTGCTAAATTTCTGACTAAAATTGAAATCCTGCTTTTATAGCAGTTTAATTTTTATTTTACAATAGATAAATGCTTATTACATAAAATAATTAGCACACAGTTCTTTCTATCCTACTGTATTCTGGGCCCAAAGAAATAGGATTATGTATTTGTTAATGTACTTGTTTCATCTGTATGTTTTTTCAATGATTCAATAAATTTTATGGTATTAGTGTTTAGATTCTGGATAACTCTTTAATAATAATTCTTACAAAAATAAAATCACATATCTTAAACTTTACTGTGAACCATATTGCATTCGGAAGGCCTACTTTCTGCAGCACAATATGTATCATCATTTGCAGATTTTTGGTTACCTAGAGCATGCTAGGTGTTTTGCATGTGTAATATTTCTGCTTTATAAAGCTGAATTCTAGATTTTAGAAGCTATAGAAAATTCTTTTACAAAAGTTAACGATTGCTTCTCAAATAAAAAACATAGTTCTTTCACAGTTATTATATACTAAAGGCCCGGTGCACGAATTCATGCACCAGTGGGGTCCCTCAGCCTGGTCTGCGGGATCGGGCCGAAATTGGCTCTCCAACATCCCCCGAGTGGCCCCGGGTTGTGAGAGGGCGCAGGCCAGGCTGAGGGACGCCACTGGTACATGATCGGGGCTGGACGTGGGAGGTTGGCCAGCTGGGGAGAGACTGTGGGAGGGCTCCAGGGCGTGTCCAACTCATCTTGCTCAGTCCCAATTGGCCAGACCCCAGCAGCAAGCTAACCTACTGGTTGGAGTGTCTGCCCCTTGGTGGTCATTGCACGTCATAGTGAGCGGTTGAGTGGTCTTAGCATATCATTAGTATATTACTCTTTGATTGGTTGAATGGATGACCAGACACTTAGCATATTAGGCTTTTATTATATAGGATAGATATAATGTCCAAAATGTTATTTTTAGAGATAATGTTTTAGTCTTTAACTTCTTATTCTGTTATTCATATTTTTCAATTTAATCAGAAACCAACTGTTAGATAAGAAAAAAGTTGATACTACTTTTAGATTGCCTCCTTTTATGATATTAAGCTACTTTTACCAAAAGTAATTGAGAACATTTACTTAGCTTATTTTAGTTTTTTAGAGATGTTGAAATGAAAATGTCTTTATATCTTAAATTCATTCCTGAAGTTTGACATTTAAGACTTGATGGAAATAATATTTTTGTTTCAAAGACAATATTTTAAGTTATTGTTAATAGTATTCCAATTATATGTACTTTTATGGTTCCTATCAGGTTAAATACTTGTGGTCAGTTGTTTATCATATTATGATAAATTAATCACCTGTATGCTAAAAATAAATTTCCTTACCGTAAAAACTAGAGAATAAAATATGTTATTATAGTTAATATGTGTAACTAGAACTGTAGTATAAAGTCTAATATATATGTTACTACATGAATATTATTTATTGAAGAGAAGCAATAGGGTAGTACTAAACAATAATGCATATAAATCTTTAAAGTATAAAGAGAGTCTGAAACAAATTAGCAGTGTAATTTATCATAAAATAGCCCATCATAGGATGAAATTTTATTTTTAACCAGTGGTTTTGAAGTAAAAGAACATTTTTATAACTTAGAATTTGCCATTCCTCAAAAAATGATCAGGCCACAGGAAATTATTACAATAGTAATTATCTACTTTCTATAGGAAATCACAAGAAAAAATCACTATATGATTGATATAACCAAGCATCTTCATAGGAATGAATACTCATAGATATAACCTGTGGATTTTTTTTTCTTATATTCACTTAACCACTATATATTATGGATATAAACTCTATGTCATACCTAATAATATTTTATAACATACCACATTTTAATAAAGATTGGTTAGAGAAATAGCTACTACAGAGGAATTTTTGTCATTGCTTATATTGTATATTTGAATTCATTATGGTAGGAAATTAATTTTATAAAATAGTTCTAAGATTAAGGGAGATTGTATAAACATGTTCAGTATATCCTCAACACAGATAGCACCACTTCCTATCCTGCTCGTAGGGCAGAAATAGATAACCTACTACAGCACAGTTTAACTCTGACCTTCAGTGTGGTTCCCAACACATTACCCCACTAGCCAGTAACAAGCAGTCAAATTTCAATGTAAGATAAGACAGATTCTGACTTCATTATGAATGTTTGGAATGTGATCACATAGTGGTTTAATATTTTATAATTATACTAGAGGCCCGGTGCACAACATTCGTGCACTGGGGGAGGGGTGGTCCCTCAGCATGGCCTGTGCCCTTTAGCAGTCTGGGAGCCCTTGGGGGATGTCCGACTGACAGCTTAGCACTGCCATGGAGGCAGGAGAGGTTCCCACCACAGCCTCTGCACTCACCGCTGTCAGCCTGGCTTGTGGCTGAGAGGCGCTCCCCTTGTGGGAGTGCACCAACCACCAGGGGGCAGCTCCTGCATTGAGCATCTGTCCCCGGTGGTCAGTGCAGATCATAGCCATGGTTGTTCAGCTGTTCGGTCGATTTGCATATTACCCTTTTATTATACAGGATGAATATATTTTTCGCCTTTTTTAAATAAAAGTTATGAGGAAGAATTATCTGATAGTTTTGTTATTATTAGGGAGGAATGCTTTCAAACTCAGGTATTCATTACAGCTGCCTTTACCATTTGACTAGTAACAGTTTAGCTCACAAGTAAATAAGAGCAAAGAATGATTTCCTAATTTTAAAACTATAGGTTTTAATTCAATAAACTAAAATAACCGTTAAAAGAAAAAGCAGCGTAATATATGCAATGCATGAATTCCACTGAATTATTTTATGTTGTAATCCAATTGTTTTGACTGTAGAAACCAAATATTTCTTTCATTGCTCCCCTTAAGGACCAGTACTGTTAAAACTGCTATTATTGTTTATATAAGTTGCATGTTAACATTTTTTTGTTTAAAGAGTATGTAATTAAAAGATGACTATTTTGTTATATGGAGTAGTTAATTTTCATCTAATAAAAGCATACATGAAATATGTTATATCTCAGATATAAAAATTTATTTCTTTCTATTTATGCTGTGTTTTATTTAATGTCCGATCAACAAATGAAAAGGTAATATTCAATTACACTATAATTTCTCTATTTGAGATATGTAGCATTTACAAAGTAGATATGTTTAATTTTACACTTTTGAAATCTGTGCATCTGAGTTATACACACACAAAAAAACTTTCTCTTTTAATTTGGGAGGTGCTTTGTTATTTTATCCTTTGGGCATAATGATACATTAGCTCTGATATCCTTTAGGAAATTGATCTTCCCCCCAAACAGCAAAAGTAACAAGCTACCTGAAAAACCTACCAAGTTCATAACCTTGTGCTTTTTCAAACTAATCAGTTAATTTAAATCCTGCGACTGCTCTTAAACTCTATAGTGCGTACAGAAACAGTGTTTGAAAATCTATACCTAAGTTTTGAATTAAGGTCAACACCCTCATGTCTCATAGTACAGAGCTAAATACTTTATTTACAACCAGCAAATTTTTAGTTATTTTTATAAATATCTACAATTTCAAAATAAAAAAATTGATCTAGCCGCAAGCAAAAAAGTTTTGGCTCAGATAGTCCTCTTTTTAAAAATGTACTTCAAATTAAATTTTATACTGACTTTGTTATATATCTACATAAAAGCTAAATGTTATTGTATGCCTGATATATGGTTATTATTTTTGAAAATTCAGTTACTACTTTGACTTAATTGAAGAGACTCATTTATTCTTAGCCAAATAAAAAAAAGTTAGTAACTGTGCTGTTTTATTCTAGCTATCAATGAAGGGAGCATTTTTCAAAGTGATTAGCTTTTATTGTTATATCGTTACTATTTAATTGATGACATCAAAAGACAAAATAGCCCGGCCAGCATGGTTCAGTGGTTGAACATCGGCCTGTGAACCAAGAGGTTATGGTTGGATTCCTGGTTAGAGCATATTCTCAGGCTGCAGGCTCCACCCACAATAGAGGGCGTGCAGGAGGCAGCTGATCAATGATTCTCTCTCATCATTGATGTTTCTACCTCTCCCTCTCCCTTCTCTGAAATCAATAAAAATATTTTTTTAAAAAGAAAATAATTTCAGACCTAATCAGATAGTCTTAAATCTAAAGTTTACTAAACTCTAAACTAGCACTTTTTCTATTGAATGTTCTAGATTTCATTTTTTAAAAAGCATCATGTATACTGAATTTTAAGTTTTCTATTTATATGCAAATTAACAATATATTTAAACAAAGATAAAAAGCTTTTTGGATAAAAAGCCCCATTGAAATAACTATTTTATGACACAAAGCAATGATGTACCATGGTTAGATAATTCTATATATAATTCAACTTATGGTATATGATTGTATCCTTTTGTGCTTTTGTGTTTGACTTTTTGAAAGAATAGAATAGAAATCTGAGCAAAGATCATTGTAAACAACACAAAAGTGACAAACTACAGCTACTCAATAACATTGAAAATAAATACATTAATTATGTCTATGCATAAACGTATTTTTAAGTTGGTTTTACAAAAACCATTATCAAACCACTATATCACCATGTAAACTTGATAACTAATATAATGTGGTCTTGACCCTAATCTTGAAAATAGCAAATGCAAAATAGAAAAATATATGAAAGAAATTCAGTTGTAATGCATGCAGTAAACTTAAGCAATTTATACGTTTGAACAGTCACCTAGGATATCATGCCACCATTTTTTGTTTGTATATACTAAACATGTTCTTATTGAATACTTCTGTTCTACATATCGTTTGTTAATTATCCAGACTTAGATTAGCCATGTTTCAGACTATTAAGCCATTATTATTAAAATGATGCAGTTGAATCTCTGACTACATGTAAAAATTCAACTGCTATATTCTTGAAAATTTGCTGTGTTGCTATATTTAATTAAAGTGCATTCTTAAAAATTATGCTCTTTTTAGATATTTTGTACGAAAAATATTTAATGACAATGATATGAATAGGAGCTGAGCTCAAATTTTATTTTTCTTCATATGAGTATTGTGTTTATAGTTAAAGACTTAATCTCCAAATAAAATATTTTTTAATATACATTATTTTCTCATTTCACTTTTTTTTAACTTGAGTCATTCTTAGAGTTTAGGTAATGTCTTATTTTACTAGAATATGTGCACTCTGACCCTTTTCAAAAAGGACT